GGTAACACAGTTTTGGTTGCTAAGGTGGTACTGCCACCCTTGGCCCCACTAGGATCTTTTGCCACTGGACAGGGTATTGTTTTTTTTTTTTTTTTTTTTTTTTGTAAACATGTTAGTCTCTTGTGATTTTTTTTTTTCAACTGCAAGTCAGATTTTCAATGTTGTGTTAAAAGTGTTTGCTTTTTTTGATCAATAACCAATACACAGCAATAAAAAAAACAAAGATTAGGTTATCTCAAAAGTTGTATTTAGCTGCAAAAGTTTTTTCTAATGGTTTTTTTACATTTTCTTTTTCTTCAGAACATTAAGTATTGTCAACATTTAACAAATTTGAAGTATCAAAAATTAAAGGATTTTTTTTTCTTTTCCTTTTTTTTATTTACTAACCTATTGTAGTGGTCATAAAAAAATAGAGGATGTTTAATTTTTTTTTAATCATTTCACCCAAGCAAAGCAATAAAACCACTAAGAGGGTACTGAGTGTGAGATAATATAAAAAAAAGAAAACATTATTAAAGAGAGAGAGAGGGGGAACAATAAAAGAACAGAAATTAAGATGACAGAAGATTAACATTTAAATATTTGAAAATCAAAGTTGACTGGAATGTGAGAAGTGAAAGAGAAGAAACTGTTAGCATAGAACTTATGGTTACATCTAGAAATTTCAAGTATAAAATGATGAAACTTTGCCACCAATCTTACATTCATAAAGTCTAGGTACCATAAAGAAAAGCTCATCCGAACAATTACCATAAAAGTATTTTTAGAAAAGGCACAGTAAAGCTATGTTATAGCAGTGAAAATGTGCCTGAAACAGAGATACCAGGTCAGGATCAATAATATTGCAGATTTTTCTTTGTATTTTATGTAAGATAGATTTTGGCAAGAAATATTGTCTAGCACAACACAGTGAACCAACTTTCCTCACAGCAAACCTAGCAATTGATTCAATATAATCTTTCCATTTCATGTTGATGAAAAATGTTTTTCCTTCAAATTTTCCAGTTTATCAAATTCAGTAGTTTTGAGAATATTGACACATTAATATTAGTTTAAAAACAAAAAAATAAAAATGTAATTCAACTAATTGGTTGCTGAGTTAAAATGTAAGAAAAAAAAAAACATTGTTCAATAAACTGAGTGAAAGCACTTCATCAGACAATAGAAATATATTCACTGAGGAGAAATTTCAGTAAACTAAAGGTTAAATCCACTTTGGCAGAAAGGGAGAGAAGCTAGCTACTGCTACTGATTAGAACATATCTATTAAGCTGAAGAGTGGGAGTCTAATATCTTCAGAAATCTGTTAACCAAGGATGGTGAGTTCAATCCTTGGTAGGACCACAAAATTCAGAATAGTTAACCACCCAGATGTAATAAAAAGATCAAGAAAAATTCGAAATTTAGTTTTAAAAAATAATTGAAGCACTGGCAGTTTTTATAAACACTCCAATATTCTAATCTCTTTAATTTATGAAGCCCTTATCAGATAAATATTGCACAAGTAGTTTAAAATGTAACAAAATATATACCAAAATTACTCTGGTCATGTGATTATATAGATTAGACTTTATTAGTAATCATTAAAATTACAGATTTGTAAACAGATGAAACTCATAGTTGTATATAAACAGAGAAAAAGCAAACTCTTACAACTCTGATATATGATATTTTAAATTTCTATCTAAATATTTACAAGTAACAACTGTCATTCACTTGTTTTAATATGAGGTAAGGAAAAAGCTTTTTATCATTGTCTGAATTTGGAGAAGTTCTTCTTAAAAAATCTTTTTTTTTTTTTCAAGAATCAGTTTTTATTACTTGTCACCCATCTGTATCTGATTATTTTCTTCTGTATTACTTAAGACTGTAAATCGGACTATCATAAAATCTATGGCAAAACTGAGATTAAATGGGTTTCATGACTGAATAACAATGCTGATTGTCATTCTTTGAGAAGTCTCTGCTACAGATTTTCAGCTAAACATTGCATTTAAATTAGCTTCACTCTTTCTGACAGCTTTAAATTGGTTAAAACTGATCCTTATGCATTTTTCATTCTTCACTCTATAAAGAGATATCTGTGTGTGTGTGTTTCATTAAAAACGACTGACAAGATACTCCAGTTAAGTTTTTTTTTTTTTTTATTTAATTTTTCTTGTGTTTTTATCACTTCTTTTCTTTTATATATATTTACATATATAGAAATTGTTTGGATGTATGTCCGAGCACTTTTGGCTATTCTATAAGAAAATCCAGATGTTCAGTTAAAAGTAAAAATAAAATCATCCTTAATAATGGCCAAAAGTATAGCCAAAAGTGCTTGGACATACAAAACATTCAAAAGAAAAAAAATGATAAAAACACAAGAAAAGTTAAATAAAAAAAAAAAAATAAATAAAAATTAACTGCAAGACCTTGTAAGTCGTTTTTAACAGAAATTGTATAAAATACATAAAATAAAATAATATATATGAAAAAGCGAGATGCATTTGCTAACTTTTACAAAAGGTCAAAACTCAGCAGAATTTTTATAAACACTAAAGATAAATAGTATTTTGTAATATTAGATAAAAAAAACGAATTTGTACTGTTATTGATTTACTTTCTTTTCTTTTTTTTCTTTTTGTGCTAAATCTTAAGCAACTCCCCTCCCCAAATTAAACAAAAAGAATTACTAAATAGATTATTTTGTGCTGTATTCAAGAATCCTACCGATTCAGTTCCATTGAGATATTTATCTTTTCTGTTGATTAGATGTGGCTTGACTACTGTTTGCAGAACTCACAGTCCTAAAGGAAAACAATGACGATGACTTGAATAAAACAGTTGACTAAATGGAATTGATAAACACATATACAGTGTTGATAATTATGGTGGCAAAAAATGAATTCCCAGAAAACCTAATAATTTAAATAAGATAACCTTGCTCATTATTGTGCAAGATCCACCTAATTACAATTAATGGTAGACAGAGTAGTAACAATAATACAATTATACTGATCAGATTGTTCAATGAGGCCTGATATGTACTTGTTAAAATATTGGGATAAGATTGCATTACTATTTTAGTCAGGCTTATTTGATTTTAGTCATTGTCTACCTCCAGGACTGTAGGCCTAGTATATGTTAGTCAAGTCTTGGACCTAGGCATAAAAAAAATTAAGTAACTTGAATAGTAGTTCTTGTGCAAAAATTAAGCAACCCAGCTACTGGTCAAAATTACAACTTGCTTAAAAAAATTAAAAAAATATATATTGTATTTATTTTGCTACAATTTTAGTAATGGCTTTATATGTTAAACATCTAAAGAAGATCTAAGTTTGTTTTTTTTTTTTTTTTTATATAAATTTTTTTATATTAAATTTTCTTGAATATTTTTATTTATTAGCACATCATTGAAACAAATTCTAACAAAATAATAATTTATCTTTTCAATATTTTTGAGAATATTGTTATGAAATAATACTCTAGCAGATAAGGATTTTCAAATTACATTCCATTTCTGAGCCATTTCACTTTAATCTGTGATTACATAAATGAAATCTCATCCCCACCACCACAATCATTTGTTGATCTATTGTTAGATGTTTCTGTGGATAGTTTATGGAGTTGAATGATAAAATGGGGGGGGGATCTTATGTGACAGGTTTCATCCTTCAAAAGGACTTCTTCAGACGTATATGTAAGGGGGAGGGAATGAAATAGAAACAAATGAGTAGATAGGTTCACCTATCACCTGGTTCACACTCCCCTCTGGTTTTTTGAACAGGAGTAGAGGCTTATCCTTTGTTTCCTGTTTAGGATTGGGTTTCCAGTTCTTTCTAAAGTCTACTTCAGCTCTATACTCCTAATATTTGTCCTTTATAGAAAGGACAAGCCTTAAGAGTATAGAACTAATATAAGTCCACACAATAACCCTCTACCTTGAGTGGCTCAAAAAAAGTGTCCGTTATAATTACACATTGAGAGGAATGGTGAAAATGCAGGAAAATTTTCTTTCTTTTTTTTTCGTTTCACCCCAAGCAAGGTGGGAATGCCACTAGTCTGCAGGGGGTTACAGGGAATGAAAGTAAAAGAGAAAACTGAGAATAGGGAAGATTGAGGATAGGACAAAAGATAAACAGCAATTCAAGAAGACAGAAGATGACGATTGATGTTGCATTTAAATTTTTGAAGATTGTAGTTAACAGGGAAGGAAAGAGACAGAAAAGAGTTCCACAGGCAGAAAGTGCAAGAAAAGAAACTATTAAAGTAGAAGTGGCAGTTGCATTTACTTAAAATTTCAAATTTCTTGCATCCTCCCCTATGTCTAGATGTATAACTTAGTTAACCTCATTCAGCTTCCTAATGGGGGGGGGATGTATGTTTTTATTTCTAAGTTCTTAACGTTATTAGAACACATGGCATTCAACATAGGGGTGAATGAATTGTTCTATTTGAGTCCACAGTTTTTATTTTAAAAATTTTTTTAAATGTCTGTTTATATTTCTGAGATGATGTATTGCAACTATTTACATTACTTGGACCATTGTCCTCATCTTTGTTGCCATATTCACTACATTTCAGCTGTTATATGCTCCAGCCTTCTTCAAGTAATTGGGATTTCGAACTGAACCCTTTATTTCATTCACTGGGGGTTGATTGTTCTAATTCCACGTGCTATGCCTCTTCCAGATATCTCAGTTTCAGTTATTTTCCTTTAACTCAACACTCCGAGATTTTTGGGTCAGGTTACTGGATTCAACCAATGCTTTTATTCACTGGGTCATGTCTTTTTTATTATTATTATTTTATTTTATTTTTTTTCTAGCAAAATTATCTGATAAATTGTGATGATGATGATGATTGTTTCCGACTGGTTTGTTTCACGCCTTATATTGTTGGAAGCTTTTTAACTAACTCTTATTTTCCCTTTGACAAGATTGACATAGTTTTCCAAAATATCCTTCTCTGCTTTTTAGGTTTTATTGAATTTTTCTTGTCTTTGTGATTGACAGTCGGAGTGGAAACTGGCCAAGAAGTGACTTATTCTCCAACAAGTTCCCAGTCCAGTGTGGGAGGAGGCGGTAGTGGCAGTGCAGAAGGTGAAGATGAAGGACACCAACCATCACAGCATCAACAACCACAACAATCAGAAACCATGTCACACAGTCAGCTTGGAATGGTTGCACCTATATGGGTCCCTGATTCTGACGCTCCCAATTGTATGCAATGTGAGGCTAGGTTTACATTCACTAAACGAAGACATCACTGTCGAGCATGTGGAAAGGTACTTTAAACACTACACATTACCCTTCTGTTTAAAATTATTCTTTTTACTGTTTCAGTTTTTATAATACCACAATGTATCAACCTAATAACATGTTATCCAAAGTGATAGTCTCAATCAAGTCTATTGACAAGTATATGCCTCGGTTAAGCAATAATTTTCAAGTAACCACTGCTGTCTGCTCTTTCACTGTTGTTGGTTCTATAATTTTGCTTTTCAAATCTGCTAATAGGAGGGCCAATAAAAAAAAAAAAAACTATCCAGAATTGTTTTCATGTAAGATTACTATCACTCACTCAAATCACCATTGTCTGAAGAATATTCAGTAAATATTGCTCTTGGCTCACCTTTAATAAACTTTTGCGTTTGAGAATTTTCTTTGACAACCTGACTGCCTTCTTTTTAGGCTGTACACTTAAACTTAGACGAAAACCAGTTTTATTATGTCTTTCTATTTGGACCAGTGTGCTCATTTTGGTTGTTATACTCACAATGTTCCAACCATCGTACCTTTTGGTCTATGACTTGGTAACCATCATGGGAAACTAAACTTTTTTTTCAGTCCATGGGGATCAATTATCGTTCTAATCCTGTTTTCTATGTTTAAGGGATAATTGAAAAAAGTAATAGGTAAATTTTTTCTTTTCTTCATTTAGCAGAAATTTAGTTAAAATAATAAGCAGAAAAGATACAGATAAATAAAAAAAATGGAATTCATGGTTTGTAAATTTATACCAAAAATATTAGGAAAATTAATGACAAAGTGGAAAAAAAAACTTTTTGTGTGATGCATCTCATCCTTCATCAGACTAAAGTGATGTTTACATTGATGTAATTATATATGCATAAGAGCAGGTATTTAAAAAATGAAAACTTTGGTTATGCAAAGGTAAGAAATGCTGAAAAATATTGTGTCACCCATGATTGCATCAGATTTTCATCACGTCCAGACACTATTGTCTTGACTGTCTATTAGTTGTCCTACAGCCATTGTCTGCAATGGATATTACTCCAAGGAAATATATGAAAATTGTAACTCTACATGAACACACTGGCAAGCCTTACCAGTGAGCAAATCAAAGTACTATAGATTAGCCCAGAAACTCTCCTGATTTAAATCCAATCAAGTATCTGTGGTCAATCTGCAAGGAATGACTTTGTGGAATGGACATATGAAGTACTGACATGTGCACTGGGCCATGTTTCATTGTAAAAAAATACAAAAAAATGTAAATAATAACAGAATTATTCTTTTTGTTTCAATTAATTTGCACAAGGGTGTATATATATATATATATATATATTTAAGTTAAGAAAAACTTGGTAATCCATATGGGTAGTCCCAAGAAGGTGAAAATAAATAAATGAATAATTTCATTTTTCGTTTCACCTTTTGGAAGTGATGTCTGATGATCCAGCATCCTTTAAAAGGGCTCTGGTGAAATAAATTATTACAATGGAACCTTAGAGTGGTCTGTTTTTCTTTAAATTATATATATATATATATATATATATATATATATATATATATATATACATACATACATGCATGTGACAATTATGTCAATTAATCTTATTTTATCTAAAGTATTTAAAAAATTCTTATATCATTAATATGCAAAGTAGCTTTGGATTCATTAATGAAATGCTTTATCAAGATTTTTATCTCTAAGTGAAGAAAAATGTTGATTCATGACTGACTAGGCAGAAAATTTTCCTGCAGTATGTTGTCATTTCTTTCTGCTGTAGACTGGTTGGTAATCAAAGTTATTGGACCTAGCCTGTCCTGCCATTCAACCCATACCTGTGGGGAGAAGAGTTTGCTTTATACCTTTCCCATGGAAAATCTGCACATAAATGAATGAAATGAATCTGATGAGAATTTGAACTCAGCTCTCTGATTTCTCATTCCTGGCCATTATCTATTACACCACCCACACATCCCAAATATAATAATCACTGCCAAAAAAAGAGGACACCAAAAAAACAAAGCCTTTTACAGTGACTCTCTTAAAATGTCACATTTTGGTTACAAGAAGCATTGCCTGTTAAATGATGATTGGTATGCCAAGAATTTAGTTAATTCTGGCAATGTAAGATTAAGTCAAATTGAACTTTAGACAATGTAGCAGTAAATGCCTGGTCAGAGACTAAATACATATAATAATGTTGTTGTGTTCAGAGGAAACTACATGAAAATTTTGGGTAAAAAATGAGCTTCTCCAAAATGATAGCTTTTCTTCTTTTTACCTCAGGCACATGATCATTTCACAGACATAGTAAGGAACAAAAAAAAAAACGGTATCATGCAAAAATTTTATATATTATTGGACACACTACTTGTTCTCCTCACTCACTAATTAGATATTTCATTGTCTTGGTAACAAGAGACATAATTTACACCAAGAAAAAGTCTTGTGTTGCTCAAGACATTTTTCATTACTAAGAAATTATAACATGTTGCTTTTTATTTCTTTTGTTTTCTGCTAGATTTTTTAAAATATTTTTCTTACTTTTAATGATTTAAAAAAGCAGAGTTCTTCCAGAATAAATTGCAAAGATAAAAATTCTAGATTATTCATGCAGAAAATATCACTAATGCAAAAGTAATTAAATATTGTTGTCATTTTCGATGGTGCAAGCAAAATTATTTCCATATAATTTTCATTATTGATAAATCATTAGGGATTCATCAAGAACTTTTTGAAGTTTCTGTTTTTGGTCAGATTTTAGGAAGTTAGCTGAAAATTTTTCAACACCACTTTGTATTTTTATTAACACATCAGCTTGGTTTCTTTTTGTTATGATGAATTGTCTTTCTTTACAGAGGTATCGTCATTTGAAAACGTTTGCTTTTATTCAGGTATTCTGTTCAGCTTGCTGTAGTATGAAAAACAAATTACAGTATATGGAAAATAAAGAAGCCCGCGTTTGTTTGGCATGCCATCAGCTCCTCAATATCAGTGAGTATAAAGCATTTTAGTTGTTCACCATACATTTAATGCCAGGCTTTGTTGTTACATTGGTTCTTGCTGCTTACTCTTGAATTGATAGATGATTTTTTTTCTTTACTAATAACATTAAATAACTATTTACTCTTGTATTTTCTCTCTCCCTATCTTTTTTCTAAATGCCATTTCAAAGCATTGAGCTAAGATTTAGTTCAGATCTATTTCTCTCTAACTTTATATTAGCCTTTTAAAAATCTCACAAATTACAGTTTAAAACTAATTAATCTTAGGTTGCAAAAGAAGTTTACTGTCATTTTAGTTTTACACTTCTCTAAAGCTATGGTTGGAATAAGTTTCAGCACTATGTAAGCTATATTATTTAACATAATTTGGTCAGACCCAAATAAAATCCATATGAAATACTTACTTGAGTCTAGTTTGAACTTAGGCAAAATACAAAGTGATTCTCTAGAAATTAGCAGCACTGTTTAAGCTTTCTGACTTCTGTTATTTAAAGAAAAAGTTTTTCTTTTAAGCAATATCATACTTCAAAACTAACTTTGACTGGCATTTAAAAAATTTCATAATCACTGTACACTGCAAGAGACTAAACATTTTTTTTTCATTTAATTTTCTCCCCCCACCTTTTCTTTTTAGATTAAATGACTATTTTTTTTTATCTTCCTCCCAGGAGATGTGGCCCTTGATAACCTTGTTATAACCAAGTCTTGTTGTAAAGAAGAAATGAAAGGTTTGACTTGCACCACATTTATTTCAGCATGGATTATACTCTCTCTTTTCTTCCCTGATTGCTGGTAGAGGATGACATTCCTTCATGTTGTTTGATTGCCTCCCTTTGATCCCAGTTTTTCCCCTTGCAGTTGACTATATTGGTTTCGAAATTAGTCAACTATTTTACGTGTTATTAACTCTTTGTTCGTACAGCTACCTTTATAGCAACCGACCAATCATTTCATATATATATATATATATATATATATATATATATATATATGATTTTTTTTTTAATGATTATTGCAGCATTCTGGCAGAATATATTACTAGGATCAAAGACTTGTATAAATTATCAATTTGAATCAAAATTACTAAAGAATTACTCAACAAATTCTCTTTTTTTTTTCTCTCTATTGCTTAAATCAATCAGCTGACGAACTTTTAGCTGAAAATAATTCTAATATGTTTAATCAATTTTGTAGATGTTTTCAAAGTGAATGTTAATACACCAGTTTCTTCACATGAGAAATTTATGGCACTACTTGTTTAAAATAAGATTTCATTATTCATATATTTTATTTTAAATTTTAATTACATGGTTTTTTCTTACATTGAATACATGCAACAAAGTTTGACTGCTTGTTCAAACTTGCTTTGTTGTTGTGAACTCCTGGAAAAATTTAAGATATTTTTGATAATGCATTTATTTTCTTTGTGTATAAGAACTCTTATTTATATAAGCTGCTAATATCTAATTATTTGGTTTATATCCACACACACACACACACACACACACACACATATATATATATATATATATATATATATATATATAATGATAAAATATAGTTTTAAGATATGCTATATTTATGAGTTAAAGTGCTCAATATCAGAGATAGAGCGGATGTAAATATAAAAGTGGACATTGAAGTCAGCATCCAGAGACAACAGTCTGCAATCATCAGGCCATGTGTGTTGTTTTTGCTCAACATTCTATATATGCAGGTCGGTGATGCATTGTGGGTAGTCTATTATATTCTAATGGTTATTTTGATCAGCGTGGTTTGTTAATTTGTTTATTATTTACTTTGTTTACTTATTTATGGTTTGGATTAATTTATTTTGTTTTTGTTTTTTTACTTTATTTATTATTTTCATTTATTCATGTTCATTTTCAGTTTTTGATTTTTAAGTAACATAGTAAAAAATCTGTTTTTGTGTCTGCATTTAAAAAAAAAAAGGAAAAATCACCTACAGTTGCACCAAGAACTTGACGCAAATAATAAAAAAGCACAACAGGAAAACAATCAACAAACCACCTGAACAAATTAAACCCACATATAACTGCACGATAAAGAACAAACATCCCTTAAATGACAATTTCTTGCAGAACAATGTAATATACCAAGCCACTGTAAAATCAGCAGATAAAGAAAATATACATACAAGTAACTGAAGTACTCTGGAAACAAAGAAACTATGCACACAAAAAATCCTTTACAAATAGTAAATACATGAACAGCACAGTGCTTTCTAAATTTATCTGGGAGATTAAAAACAAATCACACCAAAAATATCATGGAAAATAAGGAAAAGAAAATCAACCTACAACAATCCATCCAAAAACTCTAAACTCTGTCAAAGGAAAAAAATAACTATAATTATCTTCCCAGACTAAAACAAACTACTAAATAAACACCTGGAACTCATCTCAAAATGCAGACACAGAAATGATTGCATTTAGCATGAAACAGACTGTTGTCTCTGGATGTTGATTTCAATATCCACTTTTATATATGTAAAAGATTACAATATATATTTTTATATATCAAGAATAATATTGGGGAAATCGTATGACCAAGTGGTAAAAGTTCACTTGTGGCATATTTCATCCTTTAGGACTTCGATTTGTTATGTTCATAGGACTACATATGTGCATGAGAGAAGGGAGCTGGGAATTTTTTTTTTTTAATCTGACAATAAAGATGAGGACAAGAGTCTGAACAATGTAAATAGTGTGTGTATATATATATATATATATATATATAATTATTGTGATTGTTATGGATATTTTTGGTTCTGAATCAAAAGAAGTACAAACACATCAAAAACTATTATGGATGTGATTCAGAACCAAAAATATCTATAACAATAATAATTCAGAAGCTGGTATATATAAAATAAATTGTCCCAACTGTTCTTTAAAATACACAGGTGAAACTTGCAGAAATTTAAAAACCTATCTATAAAGACAAAAAGGATCTTACACACAACAGTATTAGTCATACATAGGAATAAATTCAACTATGACTTAGATCTGAAAGTAACTTATTTAGACAGAAAATTCTTGAGTGCTGCTATCAAATCAAATTTTATTATATATATATATATATATATATATATATATATATATATATCAGAAAATTATCAAGCCAACATTATATATTATAGTGCTAAACTTTAAAATAATTATCAATGTATGGCTACTTAGTTTTAAGAATTTTCTATTTGTCATATAAACTTCATAATTGATTGATTCAGAAATTATTTATCTAGGTACCTCGATGAAAACACTGAAAAGATCAGCATCAGTCATGTTCCATGCAGGATACATGCTTAGGTGATCATGTATCTTTCAATATATGACTGATGACCCAGATTATTTTTTCCCGCAGTAGGTTGCCATTTTTTTCTGCAGTAGACCAGTTGCTATCCAAGACTACAGAACACAGTCTGTCCTGCTATTTACTCCTAGCTGGGGGGAGAAGAAGATGATTCATACCTTTCCCATGGATATTAGCACGTAAGTGAATGTAATGGATTCAACTGGAATTCAAATTTGGTTCTCCGATTCCTCAATTCGAGCCACTATCCATTACTCCACCGTGCCCGTAATGAAAGCATAGTTTTATCCTCAAAATCATTGTTATTATTAAGAGGAAGGATCAAAGTATTTTTTTGATTATTTAATTAAATTTTTTACCCATTTTAGAACATTCCAAATTTTGACTAAAAAACTTGTTTTCCTTGCAGCAGCAGTTGTACTAATTTTTAGCATAGCAAATTTTCACCTTCTTTTTATGGTGACAGACACATTTATTTGGAAATTCTTGCAAAAATCAAATAATTGCCTGATTTTAATGAAATTTTCAGGACTTATTCACAAATGAATGAAATTATTTTTGAATTTTTTTTTTTATTAGAAAATCTTGGTAAAAATATATATATTTTTTATTTTTTTTTTTTTTTTTACATGTGTTTCAATACCATTCTTACTTTTATGAAAACTTGAGAAATTCATAAAGATTATTTTTACTGACAATATTAGTTAAAAGCAAAATTCTTTGAAGAATTTAAATCACTAAATTTTTTTTGCAAAATTGGACCCGGTCTTACTGAAAATCTGTTCTGAATTGAAAAATAAATGTAATAAAACTAAAACACTATTTAATTAGAGAAGCTTTTAATTGTTTTTGTGAACAATTATATATTAAAGACAATAATGTCTGAAGAAAAAAAAAATTTTTGATGGAAAAATGAATTTTTACAAGTTTTATTTTCAGTTTTTTTACAATTTTAAATTGAATAATTTATAAAGCTTTTAAATCTTTTAAAATTCATTTTCAACAAGCTAATTCTTAGGAAATATTGTTATTAAGTAAAACTATATACTAATCTTATTACAAGCTGACAACCCTGAATATTTTTAAAAGAATTTCCATTTGTTTTTGTATGTGTGATTACATGCAAAATTTCTGAAGTCTGGCTGTACAAGTAGATAACTTTATCATTAAAAGGTCACATGTTTTAAGGGTTGTTCCTCCCTAATAGCAAAAGAAATTTTATCATTTGCTACATCATACTGAACTACGAATACGTTTGGCTGTGAATCGATTGTAAATAAATCAATTAACATGTCAGAAAAACAAGACTCATGGTTAAAAAATGTTTGTATACAACATTTTAATGCTATAAGTAAATAATATTCATTTCAAATCAGATTAATCTAACTTTAAATTTGCTAATTTACCTCAAATAACGTTTCAGAAATATATATATTTTATTTTTGCAAGATTTTTAAAATCGAGAATTAACTTTTCTTTACAAAGGTGTCAAAGATGTCCATTTAGATTGATTTTAATGAAAAAAATTGATTCTGATCAATATAATTTCTGTTTGAAATACACCACAGAGTAATTTGCTGACTGGAAATAGTAAAATTTAAATCCTTTAATTTTCAATTAAAGCTAAAATGAAAGCTTCAAGAAAGCATTTTC